AAAAAAAAATAGTTCAAAACTTAAAATAAAGCTAAAAAGAAATTAATGCCTTAGATAAATTTTCAAGTATTATAACTCGCCTGAACTAGCACCAACACAATTGTCAAGCAACAAAATTGCAACTGGTTTAGATCTCATCATATTTTTTAAGAAATTTGTAAATATTTATAACTTTGCAACAAGCTGGGACGAAAAGAAGACAACAAGTGTTCCACATTCAACCATGCAATGCAGAACTCCCCCCCACAAAATATAAATTAAAATTGTAAGTGGGGAGATTAAAGCATGACGTGTAATTTCATGTCGAAATCAACAGATAAATGGCCATAAGAAAAATCAGGACTAAGTTGCACAGATAAATGGTCATCAGAAAATTTAATCCCCAAGGCTGTCGGAGAGCGCTCGAGCGGCGGCTCCCTCAACGGCGTCACCATTTTGCTCCGCTCTGACTTCCTCACGGAGCCTGCCGCCACCTATGCGGTCGCCGACGACATCCCCGACTGTAGGAGCCTGCCGCCACTGCTATTTTCTTTCTTCATTTTTTCTTTTTTTTTTTTGGAAATATATATGATATTAACGAAATGCTTTAAAAAAATCAACATTTTTTTTAGACAAAATCACTCTTATATTCGATTTAAGGGACAAATTGACAAATCCTTATGGCCGTATATTTAATTTGGTGGTTTGTAAGAAAAAAAAAAAAAAATTATATAGTGATGTGCAAAAGTGTTATAGTTCGGATGATTTTTTTTCCCCTTTTTTTTTTTAACTGGTACAATGAATATTAAGTTGGAAAAGAATGAACGTGGAATCAAACATTGGTGAACATTGATGAAAGTGCAATGTGTGTGTGGCTTCGAGGAAGTAAAAATAGCGATACATTTACCAAATATCTAATTATTCGTAAAATACTATATGAGAAATGTTCTAGATACAAAATACTACATAGGAATGTACATAACACTCACATTAAGTGAGTGCTAACAAAAATAAAAAATCAAATAGATTCCATTCTATGTAAATACTATGTACATCTCTATATACATTTAGGCCATCTCCAACCGAAAAACTCAAACTCAAACCCATTTTGCAGTAACTATCCCATTTTGCAGTAATTCATCTCTTACTGAAAAACTCATTCTCAAACCCAAAAAAATATTCCTAGAATATTCTCTTTTACACCAACTTTTATAACTTTTCAATACTACCCACATATTTTACAACTTTACAAATTAAACCACACTATTATTTTAAATTCAATTTAGACTTTATGTAATTAAAATTAGTTATACATAATAAAATCGGAGAAATAAATATTCATTAAAAATTAAAATTTCACCACACAAATAAAATTAAAAATTACAATTTACAAGATGAAAAATTAAAAATTACAACACACAAGATGAAAAATTAAAAATTACAACACACATGAAAATTAGAAATTACAACAAGAAAAATGAAAATTTAAATATTACAGCACACAAGATAAAATAGGAAATTACAACAATCACGTAAAAATAGATAGTCTTTCAAGTCTCGGAGTTGATGAATTCTTCCCATAAATGATCAATTAGTGCATTCCGAAGTACAATATGATCATCTTTATTTCTAATTTTTTTGTACCGAGATATAAATTCCTGAAATCGAGTATTTTCATCTACTGCCATTTCGACCGCCGGCGGCGGTGTTTCCATTTCAGTTTCTATTGGTGCACTTAGGTCACGTTCATCCTCGACAATCATGTTATGCAATATATGATTTAGTGTAAATTTACACTTTAGACCATATATGGTGTAGCGGCAAATTCGATCGCAAAATGCATATTCTGAGGAATTGCGATCGTAACATACTACATATGAAATCTATCATAGATTAATAATGTTATTTTATTATTGTTACCACTAAAATAAAAATATTAACTAATTATATTAACCTAACTTAACTTTCATATTCATAACATTACTATTTTTTTCGGCTTTTTCATGTATACTAAAATGCAAAACATAAATTTCAAAATATATTAACATAATTAATTTTCATATTCATAACACAAAATGCACATTCAATTGAGAAAAATACATTTCTTATGTTTTTAGTGTTTTCACAATATGTACAAAAATGCAAAGTGATGGACAAAAAAATATGTAAATTGGGGG